CATTGATGCAGCTGGCAACTTCTCCATTCTTCTTCAGTTTGTGCTTCTCTCTTCAGCATAATTCCATACAGCCGTTCAAATAGCTTTGCATAAATTGCTAGTGGGGGAAGATTTCGCTTTTTCCAACTTTTTCATTTTGGCAGCTTTTCATCCAAAAAACTGCCAGTTTTGCGGCGACTGCTTACAGTCTGTTTTCAAAATGCCATGCTTTTTAACGACATTGATATATATGCAGAAGTCTTACAAATTCACATACGTTACGTCAGCTGTGAGAAACATCGTCTTGTAAATTGTATTGGGTCATATGATGTCCAGGACATGAGAAGCAAGAAACTTTTTAGCGCATTTATAAGCTGGAAAGGCGCGAAAAGCTAATACAAGTGATGTACTTTCAGAATGCTGCTTCTCTGGCAGGTCTCGGTCGTTTGAACCACGTTGCTATTGCTACTCCCGATCTCGACAAAGCTTCAGCTTTCTACAAAAACCTGGGCGCAAAAGTTAGCGAGAAAGTGGTAAGTTCTAAATATATCCACAATGGTACTTCTGTTCCATTCCTTGACAGAAACAAATTTTCCTTTTTGACGATTTTGTCAAAACTTGCGAAAAAAGCCAAATTGGCCAGGCTATTCATTATGGGCAAGAATTTATTTTTTTTTTTACTTCTGATCAATTACCGTTTCATTGGCTAAGCCTTGCCAACGCATTTGCCCTCAGCAAACAAAATTTCAACAGGTGTTTCTGTCAGGAGTACTGTAGAGATGAAACTCAAATCACGCACCAGTTCAGGAAAGTAATTTGCTAAATCCTGAGTTCATACAAAAAATTTCAGCCACAGGAAGAGCATGGTGTTTATACAGTATTCGTCGAGTTGCCAAATACAAAATTGGAACTGTTGTATCCACTAGGAGAGAAAAGTCCAATCCAGGGATTTCTGGAGAAAAATAAAATGGGCGGCATGCATCACATTTGCATCGAAGTGAAGGATATCAATCAGGTAATCATATAGAGCCGCTTCTAATTAGGATACGGATGAAGGTTTAAAAGCCTAAATTTGCTTAAGAGGGGCAAAATTTCCCGAACTGAGAACCTAAAACCTTCCTCGCCTGTTCGTGCTGAACTGGAGCTGATATTAACTTACAGGGAATTGTTGCGCAAAAAAAATACTTAAGATTTTTTTGGACGGTAATTATCATCTTGTACATCGTAAATTTTACAAGAAATTCCACGCAAGACTATTATCATTGGTTGAAGGACAGAGACTTAGTTCGTGGGGAAACACAACAAATCTCATTCAGGACTATTCCAAAACAACTCTCATCTAAAAATCCATTAATTTTGAACATTTAAACCTAAAAATCTCACATACGACACAATTCCAAAGCGGTGGA